TCACTTTTGAAACCTCAAATTCAGCTATCTATCAATACCTCAAATTACTATGTCTACATCTTACTTTGTTATCGATTTTTCTTCTGAGTCCTCTCATGAGGATGCTCAGTGTTTTAAAAAAATTAAAAAATCTGTTAGTAATTCTAAAGAACGACAACAAAGCAAAAGTTTGAATCTGTTTAAAAGCTTGATGATCTCGAAATATTCAGGCCCTGTAAAATATGCAAAAACATACAGGTAGAAAACTTTTTGCAAGCCAGTAAAAGATCCTTTTATTTAACTTCTGAACAGCATCGCATAGAGGTTTTGAATTACAATTTGTTGCGATGGATCGTTATTAGCCAACTACTACTTACAGTAGTTGAAGAAGATTCGTTTAAAAAATTCATCTCCAACCTTGATCCACGTTACGAGCTTCCTTGTTGCCATACACTATCTTCAGATATTAAAAAACAATTTGATTCTGCAAGGGTAAAGATTAAAGAAATATTAAAAGCCAATAAAAATAAATTAGCGTTTACTTTAAACATTTGGACAATATATAAACAATCTTTTCTTGGTATTATAGTTCACTAGATCGATTCTGAATAGGCGAGGAAAACTCTTATCCTCGATCTTATTTCTTTGCATGAGACCTATACTGAAGAATATCTTTGTGAAAAGATTATTAATATTGTTAAAGAAATGGGGATAAAGAAATGGTTAATTGGATTTACTAATTACAATGTAGAAAATCCAACGTATCAACATTTCCTTCAAAGATCTGTAAATTCTAACCTTGAGTATATGTGTTGTGCGACAAATATTATTGATCTTATAGCTAAAGCAGGTCAAAAACATTACCTTAATCAAATTCAAAAAGCCTAAAATTTTTGTAGTAAAATAAATTCACCTTTAGTCTTGGAGGAGTTAAAGAGAATTTCTAATATTTTAGACAATCATTTTATTCATCCTGTAGTTGATATTGAAACAATGTGGACTTCCACTTACTTAATGCTTAAAAGCCTTAGTAAAATTCGATCTATTACTGATGGTCTCATACTATTCCGTCCAAATTTAAAAATTATTACCTAGAAGTTGAGAATTGGACAATCATAGAGAAAATTGTACAGCTTTTCAACCCATTTTACACAGCGGCCTTATTCTTTTCGGATACTTCACACCCTTCCCATGGGTCCTTGCGATTGATTGTTCAAGGACTTTCAATGCATCTTAATCAATATCTTTACATTGATACACATCGTGATGCAGCTACAGAAATGAAAGATAAACTAAAAGAATATTGGGTTAATCTTTATAAGTCATCTGCCATTCTTACCCTCCTCGATCCGTCGACGAAATTCGAAACGTTTTATACAACTGACCGAAGAATAGCCACTAATGAGTTAAAAGATTCTTATTCATTATATAAGGCAAGTAAATTAGAAACAATTACCAGGCCCAAAGATCCATTAGAAGCATTTCGTAAGTTTAAACAATTAAGTGAAGGTGAAAGTGGTAAAATCGAGATGGAGGCTGATGAATTAGAAGCCTACCTTTCTTTACCCCGTGAGCGAGGTGTAGATCTGTTATTATGGTGGAAAACAAATGCCTACCATTTTCCAATAATAGCTTGTATAGCGGCAGATTACCTTGCCTTACAAGTTACAAGCATGTCTTGTGAGCATGTTTTTCCTGCTGCAGATGCTACTGAGTTTACCAATAGTCCTGAAGAAATAATTAGTGTCTTATTAGGCTTGAAAAGTTGGTTCGAAGGAGGAATTATCAAATAAAAAAAATGTATATCTAGTTTATTTTTTATATTATTATTATTATAAATAAATTTTATCGTTATCGTTATCTTGTATGTACATACGTATGTAGATGAAATCTATATCATATGACATTTGAATGTGGCGGCGATAACCCGTGACCCGCACTTAGGGGGGGCCGCCCTGGCTGCGTCAAAAATCGCATATTATGCCGGATCATAATCCTGGACACTCTAGCCTCGTGTAATTTTTCTTTTACATTATCTTGATTTTTTATTATACAAATCGACTTTCGTTTATAATTGAAAAATGTCAATCGTGTCAAAATTTATATTTTTCAAAAAAAAAGTAAAAATGGGCGTCTGCACCCTATACTGCAGTACTGGGGAAAATTAATTACCCATGACCCTAGTTGACCAATGAAATTTCGGAGTTAGATGCTGTCTCCACACGTGTCATACATACCTCCAATAAAAACTAGCTGAGAAATTTAAGTTTTTTTTTTAAACAAAAAATATATTTTTAATTTTTACGATGGCTACAGGTAAGTAAAATAATTTTCATGGTAGATAGCGTTTTTGGTGCTATTAATTTTAACTAGCATGACGTTTACTATCAATTAGAGGACGTTATTCAACAACAAACAAAGAGACTTGCCACCTATACAGCACCTTCTGACGTGTATGAAGATCTAGTGGGCAGTGACGATGAAATTGATCCATTTAAAGATCGGCAAGGATCTCGCAGAATTATTGATCGACAGAGTGAATACCACTCACGTAGATTAAATCGAGCGATTTCACCAGATAGAAATGATCCCTTTGCAGAAGGAGAAGATGGAAAGGGTGATTCGCGTTCCTATGCTGATGTTATGCGAGAGGCTGAGTTAGAAAGAGAAGAGGTGCGTGTTAGACGTAAAGTTGAGGAAATAGTTAAAGAAAAAAAGGAAAAGGCCAAAGAGGCATCAGTAGAACAGGCAGCTACTCAGAAGAAGCGAAGATGGGACATGGAGACACCCGTAGAAATTAAATCAAGCTCTGAATGGTCAAAACCTGATGATGAGGCACCTATATCAAAGAGCAGATGGGATGAAACACCCAGGACGATGGATGAAGACGCTAGTTTAGAGACTCCTCGCAAAAGGAGCAGGTGGGATGTTACTCCACAGGTCTCGACAAAAAAATCTCGTTGGGACGAAACCCCTGCACATCCATCTGTCCAAATGGGAGCCACTCCTGTTGGTAACCTTGGTCTTCTCACACCGACTCCAGGACATCTTGTTCTTATGACTCCTGAAGGTTAGCAGCTTATCATAAGTATTCAAATTTAAGTTTCATATAAATTTGTTTTAATTATTGTTAAATAATTATTGTTAAATTTAAAAAAAAAAAAAATAGCACAACGATGGGAAAGAGATTTAGATGCACGCAATCGACCTCTTACAGATGAGGAACTTGATGCAATGTTTCCTTCAACTGGGTACAAAATTTTGGACCCGCCACCAGGATACGTTCCTATTCGAACACCTGCTCGCAAATTAATGGCTACCCCAACGCCTATGGGTGGTGATGGATTTGTGATGTTGGAGGAAGATCGAAATCAAAATTATGACCTACCCGCTGAAATCCCAGGTGTAGGCAATTTACCATTTTTTAAACAAGAAGACATGCAACATTTTGGTAAACTATTAGAAGACAAAGATGAAAGTGAATTATCTGTTGATGAGTTGAAGGAACGTAAAATTATGCGTCTTCTTTTGAAGATAAAGAACGGAACCCCGCCCATGAGAAAGACGGCACTTCGACAAATAACTGACAAAGCTCGAGATTTTGGTGCAGGCCCTCTATTCAATCAAATTCTTCCTCTTTTGATGTCGCAAAATTTAGAAGATCAGGAAAGACACTTGTTGGTCAAAGTCATAGACCGTATACTTTATAAATTGGATGCTTTGGTTCGTCCTTATGTTCACAAGATCCTTGTGGTTATTGAACCGCTTTTGATCGATGAAGATTATTTCGCACGATGCGGTATGTTATATGAAATTCGTTACATTATTGGTCATATGTTCGTTACATTCTGTTTTTATTTTAATAATGCAATTATTAATCTTAATATTATTTATATTATTACAGAGGGGCGTGAAATTATAAGCAATCTGAGTAAAGCTGCAGGATTGCCAACTATGATTGCTACTATGAGACCAGGTATTTAAGTTCAACGATCTTTTTATTTAAAATCGTTGTGAAGATGACTAAAATTTTTATTAAAATTTGTAAGACATTGACCATGTGGATGAATATGTCCGAAATACTACTGCCCGTGCTTTTTCTGTTGTTGCGTCTGCTCATGGTATCCCTGCACTTCTTCCGTTTTTGAAGGCCGTATGTAAGAGTAAAAAATCATGGCAGGCTAGACATACTGGTATTAAGATTGTTCAACAAATTGCTATTCTGATGGGATGTGCAGTACTGCCCCATTTAAAAAATTTAGTTGAAGCTATCGCTCATGGTTTAGAGGTATTTTATATTCAATAGTTGCACTATTCTTTGAGCTTGAATGTATTTACTTATTTACTTTATAATTTACTATGCAATAAAAGGATGAACAACAAAAAGTTCGTACCATCACCGCTCTAGCCATTGCTGCTTTAGCTGAAGCCGCTGCACCATATGGTATAGAGTCATTTGATTCTGTTCTCAAACCTCTTTGGACTGGTATTCGTAAACATCGTGGTAAAGGGCTTGCTGCTTTTTTGAAGGCCATCGGATACATTATTCCATTAATGGATGCTGAGTATGCTAATTACTATACAAAGGAGGTCATGATTATTTTGATTCGAGAATTTCAATCTCCTGATGAAGAAATGAAAAAGATTGTTCTTAAGGTCGTAAAGCAATGTGCTGCAACTGACGGTGTTCAACCAAAATATATTAAGGAGGAAATTCTCCCAGAATTTTTCAAAAACTTTTGGGTTCGACGTATGGCTCTCGACCGTCGAAATTACCGCCAAGTTGTAGAAACGACTGTTGAACTCGCACAGAAGGTTGGTGTTACTGAAATTGTTGGTCGAATTGTTGAAGACTTAAAAGATGAGTCTGAACCATATAGAAAAATGGTCATGGAAACTGTTGAAAAAGTTGTCAGTCAATTGGGTGCAGCAGATATTGATACTAGATTGGAAGAAGTGTTAATTGATGGTATTTTATATGCCTTTCAAGAACAAACTGTAGAGGACATCGTGATGTTAAATGGGT